CCCCCCCCCCGTTGACTTGGAGGGCTTGGCAACCTCCCACCTTCCCACCACAGCATTCCTGTTCCAGCCTGACAGGCATCCGCCTCTGCTTCTCCAGCTCTCCCCCAGGTGCTGGGGAGGGGGCGAGCCAGAAAGGAGTTCATTGCAGCAGCCCAGTGAATCTGGAGCCCTTGCGCGGGAGGACTAGCGTTCTCCCCGCACCATGCTCCCACCCTAAAGACCACCTTTCCGACACGCAGGAACTGCCGGAAAGAGAATTCCAATGCTGTGACCGCAGTCGCGGCAGCAGGGGCTGTTTTTCAGGTTGCAATGCTGGGCGGAGGCAGCCAGCCAGGTGGGGCTGGAGGGATGACGCGCCTGAGGTCAGACTGAGGTCTCCTCTCTGCCCGGGGTTCCACGAAGCGCAGGTGCAACCAGGAAGAGGCATTCTCTCTTGTCTACCAGGAGGTGTGCCAGTCCCCGAGTCCTGCTTGTGGGTGTTCCCAGCTGGGTGTCCTCTTTTGGATTACTCTTACTCTGAGGCCAATTTGACTGCTTAGTCATGAGAAATCCCTGCGTTGCGTACCCTTCCTGAACCAGCAGTCGCCTCTACGGCCTCGATGTCTGGGTTCCTACAGAAATTCAGCACAGCGTGCCCTCTCAAGTGCACAGGTCCCTGGGCTGCAAAGGGTTCCCCTCTGCGAGCACAGGCCACGCGGGGAGGCTGTGCCTGTTTCTCCTCTTGTGCCCTTCCTAAAGTCTCCCAGCCATCCTCCTCGGTCTTCCCCCCAGCTGATCCAGAGGGCAGGACCTGGGCTCTGTATTCCTGATAACAAGGAGCAGGTCCCCACCCGATGAGGGGCACAAGGGATGCCTGTAAGTGGCTCGCCCAATTGGGCTGGGCCAACTAAAGCAGCAGGTAGGCGTTGGCTACGCTGAAGCAGCTTCTCGTAATACTCTTCCTCCACCCATCCTTGCTGGGCACTGTTCCTCTTGGCACCGGGTCTGCAAGTCTCAGCTTCAACCTGAGTGGCAGCAGTGGGGATCCAGCAGCCCTCCAGGTGGGATGCCCCTCCACACAGCCCTGCAGCGCCACCTGTCTTGCCCACGTCTCCCCGCCCAGCCTACTCTGGCAGTGACCCAGGTGCCTCCCCAGCCCTGAATTCTTTGCCCTGAAGAGCAGGAGGGGAGGCAGCACAGAGGGAGGAGCCCCTCTGAGGCCCATGGCTGGCAGGCCCATCTCCCCGGACTCTGGCACCTTCCCCCACCCGGTGCCCCAGCCAGGCTGTAGGGCAGACGTCCTGGGGGCAATTCAGCAGGGGCAGGGAGGGAACTGTCATCCAGCCCTGGGCCCTCTTTCCAGGGATGCCCAGAGGCAGTGGCGGGTGAAGGGCAAG